TGAGGGTCAATACACTTGTTTTAAAACATAATTACACAATTTTAATTTGAAAGTTTACATACCCTCTCATCAAAGAAAATTATAAATTCACATTAAACAAACAGCACAAAACTGAAAAATTGTAATAAATATTTACTAAATGATAATTAGTGAAATAAGATATGATTTCAAATTTTTGTATTTTAAAAAAATCAAAGAACGTTGCTGAAGAACAGCTGACCAACATACCTATCATTAGATGCAGAAGTCTGACTGAACATTTCCTGAAATTTAATTAAAAAAAAATAATAATTCTACTTTATTGATCTCACATTGGAGAAATTTACCTCTGCATTTAACCCACCCCTTTGGGGAGCAGTGGGCTGCCATCTTGGGGGTTAAGGGTCTTGCTCAGAAACCCAGAGTGGCAGACTGTCTGAGTTTAGAGGTTTTCCTGCTTTAGCACAGCTGATTATAATGATTGCAGTAGACCAAAAGCCTGTTAATCAGCTTTCAATTAAAAACAGCTGTGTTGGAGCAAGGAAACCTCTAAAACCTGCAGGACAGGGGGCCTCGAGGATCGAGGTTGGGGATGCCTGCACACAACTCCCCCCACAATTACAGGAAACACCTGATTTCATATGTATTTTTTCTATATACACATATGTATATAGAATAAATACAGCACATTTATTATACTGACAGATGATTCTTGTCTTTATAGGCAAAAATCATCTGTCAGTATTAAAGATAAGATGTTTAATTAAAGATAAGATGTTTAATTGGAACTAACAAACATGTTTTAATACTTAAAAATTATTTTCATTTTTTTTTATTACTTTAGTAGGTTATGTCTGTGTCATCTATTTTATAAAGGTTTCTACCTTTCCCCCCCATGTAACCTTTTCAAATGCACTCTTTGGTTTCAAAACTGAAGAGTCAAAAAGTGCAATTCTAAACTCACAGACCTAGACAGAAATGCAAATAGAAACCCCCCCAAAAACAACTACAGTATATATTATTGTTCTTTTTATACTAAGCTAACCCAAAATTACACTTTTTCCCCCAAGAGTCTGCTTCCCAAAGCACACTGGTCACACCCCCTCAGAATGGCACAGCCTTTGACAGAGTGCTGGTGTATTTATGTTTCTGGTCAACCAGGAGCGTTCTGAGGGTGTAGGTGGAACAGCCAACCCCAAGCTAATCCAACGTGGAGCAAAAGTTGTAAAAGCTGGTGTTTTCAGGATTATTATGAAAAGCAGCAGGACATCATGACAAGAAGAGGATGTTTATGTACAGTAGAGCTCTGTCCCCATGCCCCATGCTACTCTCAATTTACACAGCAAACATACACATTACAGAGAACAAAGTCTCCCTGGGGAACATATATACACATGTACTTTAAGTTGAAAACATCTGATTCAGAGCTTGTGTCTCCTTGAGGTTTATATAAGATCAAGATATGCCAGATCTGTTTTGTTTTTATGGGGAAAGTAGCCCGCAGCATGGATATATCCAAGTCTTCTATAAGCCTATAAACCAGTTTACATACCCGTCCAAAGACTTTCTAAGTCTTGAACTTGTACATGTTTCACCATGTTAAACATGTCAAACCTCAATGTAATCTTGGGAGGATTTTATGTGACAGATAAACACATACGACTTTTCCCACAGGTTGAATTCTTGTGGTATTTGTGCATTCACCAACACATGCTAATCTATCTCCAGTTTAAAATGCTCGAGGCCAACCCAAAGCACGTCGACCAGTCACGTTGCAGTATTACGATTCAAGATGGAACATACAGCTGGGATAAAAACAGGAGCTGCCAAGCCTAAAGCAAACCAAAATAAAGATGGCAGCACAGAGGATTTTAGAATCCAGGATCTTATCTTTGAAAGGGGATCAGCAAGAGCGTAAAAGCATAGTTTGTTGTGATTTTCATTGTCTCTCCTGATGTTTAATTCGTTATTGTGATTGGCACAAAACAAGCTTTAGTAGGTGAGCATTAGGTGTTGCTTATGTCCAATCAGCTCGAAAGGTTCTGCTGAACAGCCTTCCTTGTTTTTGGAACAGATTCGATGGGAGCAGTTCCAGATTGATAATGTGTAGAACCGAACTTGAGGGCTATTAAAAAAATTAAAACATCTTTATTAGCTCCCAAGAAGAGGAATCGAAAGAGACACATAAAGTATAAATAAAGTAAATACAGAGTAAAATACATAAATAATTGGAAAGTGCAATATGTAATAACCAGGCTGAAATAGGCAATGAAGGAAGTCATTTTTTAGCAAACATCTAGTGGAAATGTGTATGCATCTCTATATACGAATAATAAGGAGCGATGCTATTTGTTTAAGAGCTGGAAAACCCTGGGCACTGAGAGATCTCAGTGTCTTGAAAGCTTTGAAGCCGACAACCCCAATGGAAGCCGCTAAAATGATGAAGAGTCTTGTATGATGAAGTTTGCAAACCTGTATGTTGAGTGTTCATAGCTGACATGTGGAGTCCTAATGGGAAATCCAATAACTTTAGCACAGATAGCAACAGTCCCCTGCAGGCTGACTCTGTTACGAAGGCTGTTGGAACTGAACCAATAGGTTTTGGAGAAGGTCCTTGTAGAGCCAAAGGAAAATGGTTCATGTTTTTCTATTTCTGTTACCAGCTTGTCTTTTGGGAGACCAGTCTCAAAAGATTTTAGAAATCTAGAGACTGATATTTATGCTGAATGTAGAATAGCTCATGTTTAGTCAGACTGAGTAAACAGCATCTTCTAACATAAACCTTGAAGATTTCTTTTTGAAAGTGGGTCTAGACCAGGGGTCTCCCATTCCAGTCCACAAGGTCTGGTGTCCTGCACCTCCTAGATGCATCTCCATTTCTACTCACATGAATTAAATTACCTCTTCAGTATGCAGTTAGTTTCAATAGAGTCCTGCTAATGGCCTGTTTATTTTGAATTAATTATGCATCTAAAAGTTGAATAACATCAGAGCTCTGTATCTGGAAAAAGGTGGAATTTGCAATAAAGTTGAATGCATGTTCTACACTTATGTGTTGGTCTTTGTTGATTTTGTTTTTACTGAGCAAAAAACATAAATGTAGAGTATATTGTCCAGCATATATATATATCTATATATATATATCTATATATATATAGATATATATAGATATATATATATACTGTATGCTTTGATCAAAACTATGCTATAGGTCTGACTGTACATCTAGGGTTGCTAGAAGATGAAGTTCTGACACGGCTTCACATCTTTCGCAGCTTAGAAGAAGATTTTTTCCCTGTATAACTCTCAAATCATTTTTCTCATCAATAATGTCCATTTTTCTGTCCCTGCTGATATCATGTGATGTCGTTTTTACAAGGTTGAAATAAAACTCCAAACAGGATTATCTAAACAGCTCTCTCTCAGTTATGCTTTTTTTTGTCCTTCCTATTTAGAAAGATGTACAGAGAACCACTAATAACAGTCCTGTCAACATATTTTGCAACCTCAGTTGTGAATCTCCACAACTCCTTCAAATATCTTGCTCTTGATAATTTAGGAGGACATCTGCGTCTTTTTGAGGTTAGCTGCAGTGATGTACTGATTCCATCATAAGATAAATGGCTGCTCTCTGAATTGTGCTCCATGAAATGTTCAAATCAAATTTTTGTGTTCCTTAGATTTTGTTAGGGATGTTTTGATGCAAATTTTTCATTTCTATACGATACCGAAAAAAACAGCTTGAAGTATTGACCAAGGCAATACAAATTATATTACTTATTTTGTAATTTGCAATGTTAGAAAAGTCTTGATCAAGTGAACTTAAACAGGGAACAATAGTGAACAACAATGGGTATTAGAACAACTACCTGACTTGGAAAGTGAGGAAATGTCTTTCCACAGTTCACTAAAAGCAAACTTTTACAGTCCTGCTTATAAGAACATCACCTTAATCACCAGAGTTTATGCAGTAAGCCTACTTAAGTCAGGCGCCATGAGATCAACTGACAAATCTAAAATGTCAACAAAAATTAAACAAATAAAGAATTTATTGTTTTTTCTTGAACATAAAATCATTACAGCACACAAAATCCTGTCCAATGCTGATATCAGTTACTGATTTATCTATTCTATAAGTGAGGAGTAAAATCTAGCATGTAAACATTATATAATAATGGAGAAGTTAAAATTACGCAATCTTTGGTTTACTCTTTACCCAAAAAAGGCAATTTTCGTATTAAATCAAAAGAATGATATAAATCAGACTGTATATGAATAATGTGTACACATAAGACCCTCAGTCCCTGAAGACTTACCAATGCAGCTGTCAATCACAAGTGCAATTTCACAATATGCTTCCCACCTAGTTTAGAGTGCTGCTCATGGAAAAATACCCTCACCTACTGCACATAAATAAAATTAAACGGTTATCATTCATTCTTATTTTCCAAATCTAAAAGTGAAGTGGGGCGCAGGTCTGATTCAAAATGTGAAATATTAAGTTTCTGTGCAGATTTCAGCCCAAATTTCAGTTCCTAACATTTAAAATCAAAGTGTAGGAAGTTAGTAGTTATTTGGTCACATGCATCAGCTGTAGCAGAGAACCCCTGAGCAGACAGTGCAGTTTATTGGTAGAAATGTGTTTAAGCTGCTCAGTAAGTTGTAAAAAAGAGGGCTTTAACATGAAGCCTGAGCTTGATTTCCTGTATTTGACTTGGCTGCAGCTGCAGACAGCTGCTTTTTTTAACATGCTGCAGCACATTTTCAGCAGAGGGATTGCTGTTTGCATAAAATGCTCAAAACAACTGGAGAAAAGACAACCACAGACTTACAGATCTGAATTAAAAAAGTAAATAAACAAGAAATTAAATAAGGAATAATAATTGTGCTGTGAGAAAAGAGAGTTTAGAAAGATGTGAGGAGGATTTAGGACTGTGAAGCAGCGTTCTTATGGAGAGAGGGCAAAACAACGGTGTGTTGTGGACATACCATGTGAGAGCAGGGTCCCCCAGAGGAGTAGAGTTTCCAGGAGTCCTGCTGCTACTGTTGACTGCTCTGCTCTTCTCCTCACACGGCCTCCTCCTTCTTCTTATTCTTTTCAGTCTTTAACAGAGGAACACATATGACAGGACTTATCTTTAGTCTTTGTGGAGAAATTGAGGGAACTTTTGTGAGCTGCAACAAGACTATCGGCTCAGCTGTAAGAAGAAGCGCAGGAGTTGCTCCAACAGCTGAGCCAATGAGGAGGCAGAGGGGGCAGGGCTGGGGGCCACTACTGCAAGGGGAGGGGGCGGTATTACATCTTTCTATCGCAATCAAATAAAATACACGACTGTTGCATGCATGTTTAGTGATTCCTAATATTGAGTAGTTTGACCACTAATATATTTCCCAACAATGTATAATATATATATAGATATATATATGTGTGTGTATATGTGTATATATGTGTATATTTGCAGCATGAAGGTTCTGGGTTCGATTCCAGGCCAGGGGTCTATCTGCATGGAGTTTGCATGTTCTCCCTGAGCATGCGTGGATTCTCGCCGGGTACTCCGGCTGCCTCCAAAACTTCCAAAAACATGACTGTTAGGTTAATTGGCTTCTCTAAAATTCTCCTTAGGTGTGAGTGTGTGCATGAATGGTTGTTTCTCTCTGTGTTGCCCTGCAATGGACTGGCAACCTGTCCAGGGTGTACCCCGTCTCTCGCTCATTGACTGCTGGAGATAGGCACCATTACCCCTCGACCCCACTTGGGAGTAAGTGTGTTCGAAAATGGATGGATGGATGGATGGATATATATATATATATATATATATATATATATATATATATATGGAGTTGCCCTGCAATGGACTGGCAACCTGTCCAGGGTGTACCTTGCCTCTCACCCGTAGACGGCTGGAGATAGGCACCAGCACCCCTTGCAACCCCATTCGGGATAAAGCGTGTCAAAAATGGATGAATATATATATCCGAGTTAAATATATTAACCCCCTTATTAGAAGTGAGAAAGTCCCTCTAATATTTTACCATTGCATTTAATGTCTGCGTCTTACTTCTGTTTACATTTCTCGATTTATTTCATATTTAACTGGCGATTCTTCCTCCGATTATTATAAAGAATTCACTGGTTTTTGACATTTGCTGCATGTTTTCCCCCTCTCTTCAATCCCCTTCATGTCTGCCTACTGTAATGAAATAACAAAAATGAAGGCCACTTGTGCCTAAAAAACTAAAGGACAAAACAAAACTTGGGTTGTGCAATAAAATAAAAAATAAAAAAATCTACATGTTCCATATACCAAGATATAAACTGAAATATCTCATTAATTTAAATCCCATCAATTTGCAGTCATCAACAAAGTAATGGGCAGCATCTCCCTTTGACTGTGCTTGTTTAGCGTTTGAATCCATACAATAAAAAAAAATGGAAAAACACTGAAGTTGGATTTGAACATCCGAATCAAATGGCATCTTCACATAAAAGGGACTATAACTAATGGGGATTATAAAGGTAAGTACTGTGATGACAACTGAAATGGCATCAAACTGTAACAGCCTTCTGGACACACACACACACACACACACACACACACAAAAAAAAATGCAAAAGTTCTCAAATTGTTATAATTTTGTGTTGTTATCATAAGACCAGATAAATACCTGTATATTGTATCATTAACAGTTTTCCAGAGAAGTTCATTTTAGCCAAGTGCTCAGTCAACAGACTTTAGTCTTAAAACTGAGGTAAATGACCTTAAATAGTCTTCTACAGTGAATAACATCAGGGTTTAGATTAAATAAAATAATTATACAGTTTATCTCAGCTCCTATATAAAATTATTATTACATCAGGGTCATACCTGGATACTGAGGAATGGCCTGTTTTATTCTGATTGATGCTGAAATTCAAAGTTGAGCTATTTCTCAATTATAATAGTGATTTAAACCCAGAAGCATTAGGTTTTTAAATATTGTTTTCAACTCTTATCAAACTGTTGCTCTTAAGCTTGTAAACTAGTCACATCCGATATGCATTTTTTGTTACTGCTTTTAATGCTGCTGTAATAAAGCAATATCTAGAGATGAGTAACCTTAACGTCTTTGGGCTTCATAATTTAAGACCAGTTTCAAACCTGCCTCATTCATGTAAGATTATAAAGAAGTTTAGTTCTATTTACCTAAATTCTCTCTTAACCTTTTCCATTCCATAAAAAATCTAAATGTTAGATCTAGCCATTGCTCAGAAACAGCACCAATAAGGTGTTTAAAGGACCTCAGATTAATGGACATTAATGCAGCTTTCAAAACTGTTGAAATTTTGGGATCTTTTCCAAAGATATTCAACCCATATTTCTTAACAGCAGAAATATTTTTGTCAATAAAAAAAAATGTTTTTTAGTGTGCTATGATTTAAACTAAGGAGTAACAAAGGCTAAATTTTAGGTCCTGTTTTTTTTTAAACCTTTATATTTAGTGGTGTCAATATGAGGCAATGAATTATTTTTCATATATATGTTGATGACATAACTCTATGTCAGGATGTCTAATTACTCACATATACTTATCTGAATACAGTATTCTAGATATGGAAAAAAGATACTGAGTTGTTTTACTCATTGCCTTACAACAACCTATAACAGCTTTTGAAGAAAAATCTCTTATAATTTCCTATTTATATGATTTCATTATCAGTAACTTTAATGCTATTTTATATATTCTTCATTTTATTAATGAGTAAAGTCATTAATAATCATGGTAATACTGATACTATTGTTTATAGTTTTTTTCTTTATATTGCATTAACTTGAATGTGTTGGGATCCAGAGGCTTGCCCTCCAGAGGGCGCCGAGGATCCCCTCCTGTTGTATGTTTTTCTG